TCTTCTTTTAATCTTGAATCGTTTCTTAAATCTTGAAAACAATTTATTTCAACTTTGACATAACTAAAAAGTCTTGATTATTAAAGGTAACATTATCCCTTTATATAGTTGGTTTTATATAGTATACATTACATTGCAGAATTGACTGGCAAATGAGTAATCCAAATGTAAGCTTACTTGCTAATGATAAAATCACGATCAGCTGGATTGAAGTAAACAAAAATCAGCAGTAAATGCCTTCTAATGCTATTCTTATGGAGAACATTGTACGTTATATCTAATTTTGTGTTAAGATTTTGGGAATTTCACTATTTTTCCCGCCGTCACGGGATAAAGACCTTTAATTTGAGCCCTCTCACGTCGTTCTACGACTTTCCAGTCGCCCACAATTTTGTCGCAAAGAATAGGCTTACGTAATTAATATATAGATTCCCATGAAACTGATAATTTACCCAGCACATTAAGGCCTTTATTCCAAGTATCTCAGTTCGTAAACCATACATACAATGTGACGATAAAATATCAATAAAATAGCATGTAGTTTTATGTAATCCTCAAGACATTTCATTTGGTCCATTGACTTTAAATCCAATAATTGTAAAAATTATTGGAGCTTTGAAAAAAACTTCATATAAAATCCTTACACTAATAAAAGACGACGTCATGAGCGCGGGAAATGAGCTACAGTGGCTAGGGCATAGCCACATGAATACAGAACGGAATGAAGGAACTAGAACGGAGAACTGGCAACAGCGCACGCGAGAAGTAGGGGGGGCGCACACACCGCTCCGCTCAAGCACTACAACGCATTAGTGGCATCCTGTCCACACACTGTTGATATATACCGATTTGTGGCATGGTGCCACAATTTAAAAACTGGAATGTTAGATGTTAAAATGGAGTGTTCATTAAAAATATCGATGCAGACATGTTTCTACCACCTTCCTTCATCCACTGGTGGCCGCAGGTTGAAAGATGCCACAGTTAGGTGTTTGCGAGTATTCGGTAAAACCCCGTATGTGTGTGTGTGTGTGTGTGCGCGCGCATAATGCTAATGAAATCTGCACTCTGTTCAAAATATTTCTGCAAATTATGCGAGTGGTTAGGACAATTAAACAAAGAGACAATGAAAACAATGAATAAAGCAGTTTATTGTGATACCTTCCCTCGGTATCATTAACCTCCCAAAAAAATTTATGCGTCCTTCCACTACTTTAACCCACTAGCCGCCACTGGACATGATCACTGCATCCCGTTATCACGAAAATATCTTGACACTCCCCGTGATTGTAAATACATCGGGTTATTGTGATGAATAATGATTATGCATAGCCAAAATTATGCTGGAAGTATTATTAGAGTGTGAACTTAAAAGAACAACTTTTAAAGGGCTATTTATAAAATAACTTCAATCAACTGTAGGTTTGCACTACTCTGCATAATATTAAAAGACGACATACTATTTTAACATCTTATGCAATTAAAGCTACTTACAATATATAATTAAAAATTAAAAACAGTCCTCACGGCAACACAACAACCAACAATAACCACCCACATTTTACATTACTAAATTTCTTATGATACATTTTTGAAAGAAAATCTGTCTATACAGGGTGGCTGAAAAGTAACTTGCACCCCACTTAACTTTTCAACCATTTGAGATATTTGAAATCGGTTTGCGGCAACCTTCTTAGATATGAGGGGCTTCAATAATTATGGTCGATTTTGAAAATTGTGCCCTTAGGGGTAGCGGGGGTAGGGGGTAGCTCAAAATTTTCAAACGACAAATATAGTCGAGTTTGGTATCATTTTACAGGTCTTGACGAAACATAAACATTGACATAAAGAAAACCACTAATAACAAAATGGCGCCCTAAAACTTTTCAAATCCAAATAACCATGAGAGTGGCAAAAAAATTAACTTACACCCTCTTTAACTTTTTAACCATTTGAGATATTTGAAATCGGTTTGCGGCAACTTGTTTGGATGTAAAGGGCTACAATAATTATGATCAGTTTTGAAAATTTTGCGCTTAGGGGTAGCGGGGGTAGGGGGTAGCACAAAATTTTCAAATAGCAGGTATAGTCGAGTTTTGTATCATTTTGTAGGTCTTGATAAAACACAACAAATAACATAGAGAAAATAGAAATCGGACCATTAATAACAAAATGGCAGCTAAAAATGATTGAAACAATGGTTTTTTAAAGTAATTTTGAACTGCCATTTTGTTATTAATGATCCGATTTCTATTTTCTTTATGTTAATTGTTATGTTTCGTCAAGACCTACAAAATGATACCAAACTCGACTATACCTGCTATTTTAAAATTTTGAGCTACCCCCTACCCTCGCTACCCCTAAGCGCAAAATTTTCAAAACTGACCATAATTATTGTAGCCTTTTATATCCAAACAAGTTGCCGCAAACCAATTTAAAAAATCTCAAATGGTTAAAAAGTTAAAGAGGGTGCAAGTTAATTTTTTTGCCACCCTCATGGTTATTTGGATTTGAATCGTTTTAGGGCGCCATTTTGTTATTAGTGAGCTGATTTTGGTTTTCTTTATGTCAATGTTTATGTTTTGTCAAGACCTGTAAAATGATACCAAACTCGACTATACTTGTCATTTGAAAATTTTGAGCTACCCTCTACCCCCGCTATCCCTAAGGGCAAAACTTTCAAAATTGACCATAATTATTGAAGCCCCTCATATCTTAGAAGGTTGCCGCAAACTGATTTCAAATATATCAAATGGTTGAAAAGTTAAGGGGGGTGCAAGTTACTTTTCAGCCACCCTGTATTAGTAGCCTATATTTCATTACTAGGACCGAAAGTGGCATTTTCCGTCGTGCGCTCAAGTTTTTGTGTGAGGCGAAGCCTCACACAGGGAACCCCAATTTCAGGTGCAAGGCAAAGCCGAGTATGTGAGAGCTATTTTCACGTACGAGGCGAACGGGAATAATGGAGCAAGTGCCGGATAATAACTTTTCGGTACGAGTTATGGACGATACTTTTCATCACGACGAAAAAATACACAAACACAGATTAGCAAACCTCAGTAATATTACAACTATTTTATTTCTCAATTAATTTGATTGAACATCAAAATAAAATAAAATCTTCTAAAAGGAAACCTACGTATATTTCTCAATAAATTTTGTTTAAACATGAAACTAAAAGAATAAAACAACTTTTAACAATACATACAGCTGATTCAAATCATTAAATTAAACCTAACAAAACACTAGCGCGTGTAGAGAATAAATGGAGAAATAATTGAGAGCGAGGGAAAATCAGCTGATCGATTTTTCCTCGCCCTAAATTAGAGCTTGGGAAACGACTACTTTCATTGATGTCAGCTGTTATCGAAAATAGTTACTTTTGTTACGGAGTGATGAAAATATATTACACGCTAAGCCGATTTTTGTGAACAGAACTCCTCCCTCATTTTTGGACCGATTTTGATGATTAAAATGTTAAAAGAATGGCCCTGATCAGTGGTTTTGCAAAGTGTTTTATTTTTTTTTTAATCTTTATTAGTTCGGGCTGCATCTTCCATCAAAGTTGGGTTTTCTCCCATAAGATTAACATGGGGAATCTAAATATTTAATTGGAAACTTTGTCTCCTCTAATTTAAGAGAATGACTGGGCCACAAGTGAGAATCACTTGGTAGAGGTGTCCAAAGAAAGGTCTTGGTCTGTAGATGAGTTATCAAAAGAAAAACAAAGTAAATTCCCTTAGAGCTCTGCCCCAGAAGAAGTCTTTAAAAGATCCCTCCACAGATTTGTTTACATTTTGGCCATGTGGATAATACTTTTTAATGAAACAGCTGTTAATTTTTAAATTGTATTTTAAACAGCACACATTTAATTGAGAGTTACTGACTGACTTACTTACTTTCTTATTAAATGGCGACCATACTGAATTGTCCAAAGGAAGTATTTGCAATGTTATTTTCTTGAACTCTTAGAGAGCCTTTGAATGTTATTAGACTAACGAAAAAAGGGTTGTGCATGTTTACTAGCGCTACTCAGCAAAAAAAAAAAAAAAAAACAATTTTATTCATCTCTAAAAAATATATTCTCAAAGTGCACTGAGCAGCAGGCTAAAAATACTATGTCACTTCCTCATATAGTTATAAAATGCTAAAACTCGTATTGTGACATTTATGATTCGGCTTATATTTCTCCAACAGTTATTCATCTGCAGAAGAAGTTCAGTGTGCTCTTATCGTGTCTAATAAGATCCAAACACAAAAACCTTGCCTAAAATGGTACCTATCTTGACAAATTATTTGCAGTGGCCCACTGGGTTGGTAACATTATTGAAAGTAACACAATATTTTGGCTTTATAAGAGTAAATACAATTTAAGCAGCTACTGTCATGACAGAAAGGTCATATTCCTTTTAAACTAGATCACATTATCCTTTAAAATATACGTTGATTAACAATGCATGTAAACGTCAATATTTCCGTAACAGCCAACTTACAGTATGTTTTTCTCTTTGGAAATGCCACATTGCTATTTCGTTTGCATTATTTGTTGCCAATGAAGCTACACGATCATATAAACGAAAGGCCCCTAACCATCAATTTCGACGGGTTTCACCTATTGATTTATAATATAGCAATATGGTTGAATGTTTGGGCTGTTTAATTAATTATAAATAACCCTCCGCACATCAAATTAGGGTTGATTTCAATTCAAAATTAAGAAAACTTGTGGACTTCTTATCAAATCCTGGCGTGTATAATCTAAACCAGAACCTTCAGCAGTGGCACATTGTGTACTCATCAGCAGTGGCCAGAAACAAGGTGATCGATCTTCTTATGTATAGGCTAGTGCTTTGTGTAAGACAAACCACCTTAAACTATTTTGTGTTGACTTTACTATGTTTACAATAAATGCTGATCTAGCTGATGGTGGATTTCCCTAGCTAAAACCTCCCCGAAAATAAATCATTGTTGATAGTAATAGATACCATTTCTTATTATAGACTGAAGGAGAAAATAATCCAGAAAAACTTCAAATAACCATTTTCTCTATGAGAAACCTTATAGACACACTAGACTACATGAAAATGGCCCTTCCTCTTCTCAAAATAAAAAATCTCTTCAAGATTCAGGTAAATACAATAAACTATGGAGGTTGCTCTACATATAGTGTATGTGATAGTACTAATAGTCACCTGTAATAAATTAAGGTTCATTTCACTGAATATTATTTATAAGCCGCCATTTAGTGAAGCTTTCTAAAGGTCATAGAAGTATTTGAAGATGTTTAATACAATTAAGAATAAATATGACGAGATACCAATGATTATCTGTACTGTAGTGATTTAAATGTTGACAGCCTTGAGAAATCATATCATAAAGAGTTTAAATCATGTATTACTGTCAAACAATCTTAGCATCACCTTTGAACATTTAACAAGAGTTTACGGTAACCCTGGCAGACATACTGTTGATTCCACTAATTTTACTAATAAAAGTTCACATTTTGTATAAGAAAATAGAAAGTTAGTATTTATTAAATCACAATCTGTAAGTAAACATAAACAATTCAACAAGTAAACAAAATAATAATTTGAACACATGTTAGAAATAAAATTTAAATAAAACATATATAACACCTCCTCCTCTATTTACTGTGCTGCTGCACTTTACGAAGAATCAGCTGGTCAACATGTCTTCTTATTATTCGTCCATCTTCTAGCTGAACTACGTACATTACCTACATGTCCTTGCTTTTTAGTTATCGAATACCACTTGGACGAACCATTGACATATTCTCGCGCTTGCACTTTATCTCCAACTTTGAAATTCCTTTTTATACCGACTTGGACTCCCTTCTTCTGATATTTGCTCGGTTCTAATGTTGGAACAATTATTGCAAGGTTTGTTCGTACACTCCTTCCAAACATTAGGTGGTATGCTGATGTACCAGTTGAATTCGGGGATTGCCTGAGTTGCATTAAGAGTCTTTGTAATTTATTTTGCAGTGTACCCTTTTCTCCCTCCATGGATTTTAACGCCTTCTTGACAGTCTGTACGTATCTTTCAGCCTGGCCGTTTGAGTTTCGATGGTATGGTGCCGTTGTTCTGTGAATAATCCCACATTCATTCATGAAGTTTTTGAACTCTTGAGAAACAAACTGTCTTCCATTATCTGAAACTAAGATGTGAGGAAACCCAAAAGTTGAGAAGATTTTCCGTAATTCTTGGACTGTCCATGTACTTGTAGTTGTTTTAGTCTGTATCACCTCCACCCACTTACTAAAGGCGTCCACTAATATCAGGTACTGTTGGCCATCTGTTGGTCCTAAGAAATCAATGTGCACCCTCTCCCATGGATTAGAAGGTTGTTCCCATGGATGGATAGTTTTTCTCGGGTTTGCAACAGTTCATAAAATTTTGTATAATTAAATAATATATAAATAGCCTATTACCAGTCAATTAAGCCTATTTCAAACACAAGCTAAAGTAAAAATAATTATATATATCTAAACCAAATCTCAAAAAGTAATTTACCCAAATTAAATTTCATATACTATAAATTGGCCTAAGTGACTAAAAAGTAACAGTGAACATCAAGATCTAGAAGACCTGAATACATTGTTGCTGAAAAACATGTGATAGGTAACAACTGGATTTTCTTCTTCTACCATTAACTAGCCTGATGAAAGTGTAAAAACTAGTTTAGTATGATTTTTATATTATAATATTTTCTAGTAAAAAGTGAAAAGCTAAACCAATAGTCTAATTATTTCAAATAGTTTAAACAAGAAGAAATGTGGAAACTTGGAAGAAACTTGGTAATCTCCATCTTATTATTACAGACAATTCTATTTAGGTGTTGGACAATTTGAGAACATTAGCCTAATTCTGAGGTGGATCAAGTAGCCTCCTCGCTGTTAAAATTTATATTCTTGATTCAAGTAAAGACTTTTGTTTTTAGAACAATCTTATCTAAATTCGATATAAAATTATTTAGTAAAAAAAAAATCAAAGGCTAACTTTATTATCATAAAAAAAGTTTCAAATTAAAATAGGCTATTAGCAAGGAAATTGGTAATAAAAGAGAGTTCCAAGCACGAACCTAAAAACCCTGAGGTTGCAATTGGCGCCGCAACGAGTGGGGCTCTCTTATTGACCAAACCTTGCTAATAATACAAGTAGGCCTAGCTCATGTGTTTGAAATAGCGATTTTTAGGTTAAACTAAGAATAGCCTATAAGAGTGTTGTACTATTATAAAGGTATCTAAGTTAAGATTCCCCACCTGTTTCCCCTTTCATAATTAGCCTATCAATCACCTGTTAGTTAAAGATATCCAAGATGATGAGTCAATACAATTTACGCCAAAACCCTAAACCCTCTAGGAAACTAGTCGAAAATAGCGGGGATAGTGACGATAATAATCAAGACGACAACAACATTGAAATTCACACAAACACTAACACCAGCGATATTAGTGAAGATGAATCATGCACACTAACAGCGAAAAGCCCTGAAACATTATCACAACAAACACATTCAGAAGCAGAAAACAAATCCTTCGACGAGCAATCATTCCACGATTCCGAGTCATCAGATATTGTAGCCCTAACCTCAAAGCAAACAAATTTTACCGACCAACACCAAACCAACGTCCCGGTGAACGATGAACAAGGAATGATGGGAATGAATATGACAGCTGATAGGCCTACACTCCTTACGACGGCAACCGAAACACAGCAGCCAATCACAACACAGTTTCATGACGATCAATCACAGCGAGCTTCTCATCAAGCTACAACAAGCACCGTCACTCAACCACCCGACTTTATGACCCAAATTCAAACGCTATTCCAATCTTTGGATAATAAAATGATATCGTTGGAAACCAGCATTAAAGATGAAATAAAGACCCACTATAAAATCCTTGATACTAAAATTGAATCTATCACTGAATCACAAAACAAACTACAATTGGAATTAAACTATGTGAAGGAAAATCAACAAAAACAATCAGAGGAAATGAAATCAATTGAATCTAAATTAACTACCCAAATTGCCGAAAGCTCCTATAATCTAAAAATGGACTTGATAGCAGATCCAAATGCCCATAAAACTGAAGTAAATGGCTTAGTCCATACCCAAAATCAAATTATTAGGGAAGAGATGAGCCAGACTATGAATACTAATTTAAATAATATTAAAAGTCAAATTCAGGAAACATATGAAACACAAAATAAACAACTCAGACACACAGTAAGTGAAAATACTCAACGGATTCAAGAACAACTAGAACCACAGATTAAAGCAAATCAAGACAGAGTTGAACAAAACATTGAATTAATAGAAAACATGAAAACAACACTAAGTGAACATCATAACAAGATTGAATCTCTACAAAACGAAGCCACTGTTAAGCAGAGTACATTCACCCCTAACATTTATGTATCTTGTGGTAGCGGAACTAATGTTGACTCAAACGTACCTAAATTCACTGGACGAGCACACAACCCCAAAGAGTTCTTAAACACACTACAAAAATATTACTATCGCAATTTGGTTCGCCAGAGTCCCACAACCGACCCTAAAGAATTCCTAATCGATACGATAGAGATGAGTTTAGAAGGGAGCGCTTCACGATGGTTTTCTCTTATCAAAAGTAATATTAATACATGGGATGAGTTTGAGAGCATGTTTCTCATGAAATTTTGGAGCCAATCAGTACAGCGTGGAATTCGACATAGATTGGAAAACGAGAGATACCGTCCTGGAGGAAAACTGACCCGCTCAGAATACTTTATAGAGAGAGTCATAACGTTAAAATCAATGTCCCCACCCTTGACTGATGAAGAAATTATTACATTGTTAAGCGATCACTTCAGTGAACTAATACAAGATGCCCGCATAGTACAGAATGCCAACACAATATTTGCATTTGAATCGATCCTCCAGCGTGAAGATATAAAAGACGGAAATCGCCGGAATAAACAAAACCATCCTCCATCACACAATACACCAGCGACAAACCGAAATGAACCAAGGCCCAACTATAACACACAACCACAAAACAGATATCCTGACCGCACTAATAACATCAACCAAAATGCATACCAACCAAGATATGACATGAAGTATCAACAAAACAATCGACCATACAACCACAACCAACAATACAATAACCGGCCAAACCAACAAAACTGGTTCCCATACCCACAAGGCAGATTTCCACAAAATTCAATTAATTATCCCACTAGGAACGGAAACCGATTTGAACCCAATTATATGACCCCAGAACAACGACAAGTCTGTACCACCATAATCGATAAAACCGACCAACCACATAAGTCGGATTTAAACTAAAGAGCACTGAGAGCAAAAATGGCCTACACACCACTTCCCCTGAAAATAATATTCCCTCAATAGTCTCTTCAGTGCAAGAAAATCCCCTCGGAAAAATAAGGCCAAATGTATATAATGAATTAAATAATTGTTATGAAACTGATGTTATCTGTTGTGACAGAGAATTTTTATTAAGTGAAGAAGATGAATCAATTAATGATTCCCACGAGATTAAACAAATTGATTTTCCAGAAATTAGTGTTAAAATTAATAAATCGAAGATAAATGCCCTAATTGACACCGGCTCTAATGTATCATGTATATCGGAAAAATGGTTCCTAGAAAATAAACACCACATAGGTCATTTTGAAGAATTGCCAATCACAAATACACATATTAAAACCGCTACGGGAGATCGATCTAAGCGCATAACTAAAATCATAATGTTACCTGTAAAGATAGAAAATGAAGAAACTCAACTACAAGTTTTACTCATACAAAACTTAGTTAGGAATTTAATAATTGGGAATGATGTATTAAATATATGGCAGTTTGAAATGAATTTTAAAGAAAAAGTTATTAAATTGAAGATTAATAATAATAATATTACTTTGAAGTTCGGAGAGGTATCTGTTGAAGGTATAAATTGCAATTTTGTATTTGAGCAAAGCCCAAGGCGAAGCATTGAGAACGAAAATAATGATGATAAATATTATGAAGATAATTATGATAGTATTAATGATGATATGAAAACAAACTATTACAATCCTAACTTAAATATGAGTAAAAATA